GTTTCCTACCCATGCTGATAAAATGAACGTTTGTGACTGTTGTACAATGGAAGTTGCGCGCATTTCGACTTTTATTCGTCTATCTATCTTCCATCTACTATTATACTAAAGTGGCGATGTGTGTGTATCCGCCACTGATTCTTTGGGATCATGCGTGGGGTAAACGGTTAAGATTTTTTAATGAGGTCTTCACACGACCAAGGGCTGCTGGCAGAGCGCGGCCGTGTTACGTCAATTTTCTGCATATAGCAAAAATGAGCGCATGGTGAGCCAAAAAATCGCAAAAATCCCAGAAGGCTTAACACGGGCGACGCAATTTTCGCGGCCACCGGACGACGGCACGACGCGCGTCCGCTCCCGTTGCCACATATCGATAACCAAGGGTCACAGCGACATGAAACTTGCGCAGCCAGATGGCCAATTGGGCCATTGGCCTGGTGTAAGTTTAAGGCGCCAAGGGGTAGGTGGCTCGTGCACATCTGCTGAAAAGATGAAATTGGCCGTTTTGACAGGTTTGTACATTTTGGGCTATATCTCCGCACGCGGTGCAAGTAGAGGTGTGACTTTGGTCTCCCAACATTCCAAATTAAAGCAGCTACACTTTCCGAGTGCATAGCAGCTTTGTGCGACGAACTGTTGTCCTGTAAATTGCAATACAAGTTGCAAACCTCCAAGTTTTGAAAGCCTGCGCCTAATACGGGCCTCTACCGTCAAAGCTATTCATAATTTAGCGTTGGAAACTACATCAGCGTGTTGGCCGTTTCATTCTTTATTAACCACCGACGGAACGGCGCTGTACAGCCCCTTGCCGCTGGCAGCGGCTGTCTAACGTAAAACGGTTGTCTTGATCAAGTGGCTTGCTCCCTATTTCAGTGCCACCGACCGATTATGTCATCTCGCACCAAACTCTCGATAACGGCGGGTGGGACGACACGAGAGTGGCACGAAAAGATGCACCATGCGAAATGGTGTGTTAGCATGTATCGCGTCCAAGGATCAATTTCGCTCTTTTCCACGAGTTTACACGTGTTGTGCCAAATCTCGGCACCTAGGACACGGACACACTCGGAAGTGGCACGCTTCGATAAGGAATGGGAGGAGTAAGATGACAATGATAGGTCATACGTGCCACGTGTAATGCCGCCCACGTCTTGAGATGTGAATTTGGCTATTTTTGACGAGTTTACACGTGTTTTGCGATATCGCGGCACCCAGGGCACGAAGCGACTCCGAAGTGCCACGCTTCGATAGGCAATCTAACAGGCAATCACGCAGTGTAAGATGTGATGCCGCACGTGCCACGTTCCACGTGCGCACTAGCTGTTAAGATCCACTTTGCTGGATCGGTTTTTGGATTTGCTGGATTTCGTTGTCTTTTACGTTTTACGCCACATTTCTGCGTTCAGAGCATGTAACCACACGGGACTGGTATGACGCACTAAGGAATTAAAGGGCCCGTCGTGTGTTTCCACGTGTATGCAAGCACGGGTTACGTGTCAAACACATACGCCCCGGACGGACTGAGTTGCTGTTTTGACAGGTTGTAAAGTTTTGTGACACATGCAGCACCCAGGGTACAGAGCCACTGGGGAGTGGCATGCGTTGACAGGGAATCGGACAGTCACGCTGTATGAATTGTCATGTCACACGTGCTGCGAGTCATGCATGCACCAGCCAGCAAGATAGAGCTGGCCGCGAGTCATGCATGCACCAGCCAGCAAGATAGAGCTGGCCGCGAGTCATGCATGCACCAGCCAGCAAGATAGAACTGGCCGCGAGTCATGCATGCACCAGCCAGCAAGATAGAGCTGGCCGTTAACGGCCGCTTTTCACAGGTTGCGCTATATCTCGGCAGCGGGGGCGCCTAGAACCGTGATTTAAACGGTGAAACATAAATGATTAAAATTTTTCCTTTTTCATTAGGGCAGTGACGTAAGCATGGAAACGCTTGTTTACGCTAAAAATAAAGGATAAAGAACTTACCACGCTAAAACCCGGTATTTTGTTTGCATATTAAAGTACAATGCAGCAGTGTGCTGAGTTCATGCCCTGCTTGTGGAAGCGTTTCGTGCGCTGCAAGTGCACGGGTCTGATCGGCTGGGAAATACTAATTGCCTTTGTTGCAACAGCCTAAAAAGCAGGCCAATATCAGGTTTGTTGTCTGTGGCTGGAACTTAGAGAACAGAGAGGTGTTACGTGAGCCTTCGTCGTTTTAGCACGCAGGCTGGAGTTTTAAGCTTCCGAGGAGGCTATCCGAACCGTAAACGCGAGCAAGATGACAATGCAGCCGAGCCATATTAATCCTGAAATGTTTTTTGGTTCGTTAAGGAATTGGTCTCATCGAAATACCATTCCTAAACTAAATAGAAAGAACGCTTTAACACTTATACCCGATCAGCTGGCGCTTTTTTGTGTGTGTCAAACACGTACTCTTTACGATATTGCAGTCATACAAGGATTTGTTTTAGCATGGGCCTTTGGAACGGCGACTACGCGACATTAGTTATGAAACGAAAGCTTATACTAATTCTTTGAGAAAAAGGCAAACCTTTACGAAGGACACTTACGAAATGTGTTCGGGTGCCATTTCTCATTTCATCTGATGGCATACGCAAGATCATGCCATCGTCGAGGGAGCGACGAACGTCTGCCAATGCACATTTTCCCTTTTCGTATATCTGTTGATCGATGTGGCATGCCATCAGAATCCCATGAATAAGGTCTGATGATGTATCCTTCATACTAAACGTGGATGGGCACTTTTACTATACATAATCTCATTGACAATTTACATGTGTTTGCATTCTGCTCTAAAATAATGTTATTATCCTTTATGTATATAAGAATGTATATTTGCCGATCTGTTTTGGCTCGGGTCAGGCTTAACCCACGCTACATTAAATCATGAATTTGCCTCTTTTCTTTAACGATTGGATACACTTCGTAATGTTGGCACTTCTACATAACACCCAGATGAACGTACGTGTAGCACATATAAATCATATCAGGCATCCACAAGCCATATGCGACTGGGCACGTGTGCCGACAAAGTCATGCTGGGTCGAAGGGTGAAGGGTGATCTGAGCCTCGATGACAACACGATATATCGTCAGCTTGCCGTTCATACGACGCCTCGGTCGTGTGATGCCTTCACTGAGAAGCGCTAAGAAGGGAGCTCAGTTGGCGTGACCTAGATGACCCGGAAATTGAATTGACCTTTCATGAGCCTGAGGTACGTGCTCTGGCACAGCAAGTCGCCGGCAAGATTCAGTGCCGAATCGCCATGCATGACATTGAATATGAAAGCGACTCCAAAGCGTGGGCCCACTTCGGGTAGGGGGACGGCTCCTAGCATCTGGTCGTGTGACGTCATTTTGATACAATCTAGGATGGCCGTTGCTTGAGCTGATTCGCCACTGGCTCGTGACACAAATCGACGAATCAGAAAAATGCAGTGGTAGTAAAGCACGCACAAACATCAACCATGGTAAGAATCAATTTTGCTGGTAGTAATTATGTTATATCACTACTGCATCACTGTACACTTATTACTCAAGATGCCGTGGTTGCCTCTATTTTCTCCAGAGCTATAGTGAACAACAATGCAAAATGAAGTTTCGTGAGTGAAGTGCAAGTCAAAATTAAACATCCCCATAAATGTTGGCTTCATACAAATCTTGTAGGCATATGTGCACAAGTTCTTCTTGTTACGTTAAAGGGACGGTTCCACATTTGTATGGAGTTTGAAACTGAGATAGCCATTTTCGAGATTATCCTCTGCAGTTCAAAATTTTACATTTTAGAGGCCTTCAAGTATGTTTTCCTCATTTTTAAGGAAGGATAACTTATACAGACTATTTCGTACTGCCTACATTAAAGTCATTGCCATGTGCATGACGTCATAGAGATGTTAGACGAATTCCATCTTCTCGATGATCATACTATGTTCAAGGTCAAGATAATTATGGTCGTTGATCTAACTGTGTCTGGAGCACGTCTGCACACATCCCTGCATCAACGAGCAGCAGTTGGCTTTCAATTAACTTAACGCGTTAAACGCAGGTCTCGATTACGAACCACGTTTGTGATATATAACACGGGCATCTAGGCACTCGTGCCAGCTATGATGGACTTGAGACCGGGAATCGAATAACTTAAGAAAATACCGCAACCAAGAATGCAAATGTAAATGAGAAATATAAAATGCAGGACAAATGCACGAGAACATCACGAGAAAGGAACATTGCACGCGGACATAACGTTCTTCGCGTTTATCACGCACGCCTAAATTGATAAGCCGCCTTGCGTCAAGTAGAAGTGCTTTAAGTGAGTCAGCCCGTCTGCATTAGTGGCAGTTTTTATGCAGCCAGTCTGGCAGCGACTCTGACGTCATAAACACGTTCCATCGCGTGATCAAACAATGACGCATTGAGGGGCGTACTTACTAAATAGTAAAATTTGTTATCTGAAGGATTGTCAAAGAACGCAAAGCACAAAGACACGTAGCAAACCATTAGTTATAAGTATGCATTTTCCATCATATTTGATGCTCCGCTCAATACCTTGAAATATGGAGTATTTCTTTTACAGGTCGTTTGCCCCAGTGTGCCACTTCATCGTTAAGTGTTGAAGGACACAAAACCACGCACTCCTTGATTTGTTTGTTATTTTATTTGACGTAAAATCTGTTCAACACTAATATATCTTGCCTGCAAGAGTACTTGTTCACATTCTGGATGACCGATTCAAATGCATCACATCATTTCAATAAGCTTCACATACAAAAGTGTGGACAGCACTCAACGACATTGTGTCCGCTCACCACCTGCAACACTGATCGTTTAAATAAAACTGGAAATAAATTATCACAATACCACATACACAAACCCATTCACTCGTCCGGACGCCCGGTCTGCTCGACACCTCATTCCGCCTCACACGGACCCCAACCGCCGCACCTATCGCTACCAACACAGAGGTACTCCGTCCGCGTCCCTCCGTCAGACCCGAGCCAGCCGGAGTCGCTGAAGTCCTGACGCGAACAGCCGGCGGGACACGCGACGAGGTCGGCCACGCCCGAGCGGCGGGGTCGCCCTGAGCTCAGCGGCCAGCGGCGTGTCGCCTCTGGCCTCGCGCCTGCCGTTCGAAGAGAACGAGCGCCACTCGCGCGGGCACCGGCCGCCGGCCCGTCCAATGCCCTTCTCCGAGAAGCAGCGCCGGTGCGGCGGGCCGCCAGTGCGGTCTGGCCGGCCGCCAGCCCCGCTCACGCCGGCGGCGGTCCAGCGACGGGCGAGCGACCACGCGCCCCTCAGGCGTCCACCGTCGGGCTGGGGCTGCTGCGGGGCGTGGCTGGCGTGGAGGGCCGCGCCTCCCGCAACAGCGGCACCGACTGCTCCCGACGGGCGCTCGCCGACGCGCCCCTCCTCCTCGTCGAAGTCGTCAATGTCGTCGAAGCCCTCATCGCCGGTGAGGCAGCCCTCGAGTGCGCGGGCGGCCGGGCCGGGCGCGGCGGCGGCGGCAGCGGCGGCGGCGGCGAGCGCGGGCTCTACCGCCGTCATCGCCACCTCCGCTCGTCGGAGGATGCACGAGTCGGAGGAGAAGCCGCGCGGTCGCGCCGGCGGCGTGCGCACGTCACCGGCGCTGTGGGCCTTCTCGATGGCGCCGGCAGACGGCGCGGCCAGCGAGTTCACCGGCCCCGGCTCCGCGCACACTTGGCTCAGGTTGCTGTGGCTATCCTGCTGCAGACTGTAACTCTGCGAGGAGATTGTACTGAGTTTGCGCGGCACGAAGGCAACAGTGAGGCCGACCTTGCGACCCTCCACCTTCACCTGGACTGGTACGCTGCTGGCTCCGCCGCCGCCGCCGCCGAGCATCCCGCCCACGGCGCCGCCTACCGCGCCGCCCTCGCTGTCGTCCTGCGCCATGCCATCATCCACGCCCGACGACTCCTCCTGACTAGACTCGGTGAGCTTGCTGTAGACGTTGTGGAAGCGCGTGTGGCGCTGCGGCGGCGGCGGGTCGGCGCAGTGTAGCGGGCACCCGCTCTCGTGGTGGCGCCCGGGCGTGAGCGTGCCGGCGCCGGCCGCCGCCGCCGCCTGCGCTGCTTCGTCCGAGAAGGCGATCTGCCGCGTCAGCTTCGGCTTCGGCTTCAGGATGCCGCTGGACGCCTGCTTGAGCAGCGGGTGCGGGAGCGGGTGCGCCAGCACGATGCCGGAGTTCTGGCGCACGACGGCCGGCCGGAGCGGGCGGCCGCGCAGGCTGCCGGCGCGCTCGACCGCCTCGGCCAGCGCCGGCTTGTGCAGGCTGCCCTGGCCGCGCAGCAGCGCCGAACTGCTCATGTCGCTCGACACAGCTGGAGCGGCTCAGCCGCCACGACTGCGTCGTATTGGAGCCGGCCGTGGCCGACGAGTCGTTGCGCGAGCTGCTCAGGTTGGAGTCCTGCGACGGCTTGCGCGTCACCGTCCACGAATTGCGCCGGCGGCTGGGCGGGTGGCTGTGCGCGCCGTTCTGCTGGCGCAGGGAGTCGGAGCGGGACGAGCTGAAGTTATCGCTCGACAGGCTGGCGTTCCGCTTGTTCTTTTCCTGGTTCTTCTGGATCTCGGCTATCTGGTAGGCGTAGTCGTTGCTCGAGTCCATTTGCTCCTTGGCCGGAGTGGGACACCAGAGCGCGCGGAATGTGGCCCAGCGGCTGGGCGGCGGCGCCTTGGCTGTGTCGCAGAGCAGGCGCTGGCTGCAGCTGCACTGGGCGCTCTCCTTGCTCTCCTTGGAGGCGCGGTCGGCCAGGCTGTTGGTGTTGGCCGGCGTGTGTCGGTTGCTGAAGTTGCTGCTGTGCCGGCAGCGGCCGATGCCGCGCGTGACGCGCGACTCCTCGATCGCCTTGCAGATCATGACGCAGTCCTTCTTGAATTGCTTCGTCATGATGGCGTAGAGGAACGGGTTGCAGCACGAGTTGAACGGCAGGATGAAGACGGTGAAGACCTTGGCACCCGACAAGCCGATGAGGCGCACGCCGAACGCGGCCGTGACGGCGAAGAAGGCGATCGGCGCCCAGCACAGGAAGTCGGTGAACACCAGCAGAGCCATCCTCTTAGCAATGCGCGAGTCGTTGGAGTTCCAGGCCTGGCTGCCGCGGATCGCACAGTACATCTTCCAGTAGCAGCCCATCAGGATGGTGAAGGCCAGCCCGTTGACGAACATGAGGAAGACGACGTAGCCGGTGCCGGCGCCGGCCGTCTGGAAGGGCAGGCAGACGGCGAAGCGGCGGTAGTCGGAGACACCCACCAGCGGCAGCAGCGCCATCACCAGCGCGAACGTCCAGCCGCATGCCATGATGTAGCTGGCATGCTTGATGGAGAGCCGCTTGTTGAGGTGCATGGCGTGCGTGATGGCGTAGTTGCGCTCCATGGTGATGACGGCCAGCGTGTAGACGGACAGCTCGGAGCTGAGCACGCCGAGAAAGCCGGCCATCTGACAGCCGGCCGACATCTGCCAGGCGATGGCGTACTTGCGGAATTTACCCAGCGTCGAGGCGTCCACCACGGCCAGGAACCCTGCGGCACGGCAGACGGCGCGGGAGCGTCAGGGCATGGCACGGCGCCGGCTCGACAGGTGCGACTCACACATTCTGGGCGCACTTGCGCCTCAACACCAAGTAAAGTGTCGCCACATATTTATTCATGATAGCTTGAACGATATAAGTATTATTCCCGGACCGTCGATTACATGATTGCTCATGGCCACCAGTTAAAAGTAAGCGCAGATTTGATGCGATCGTTATTCGTGATTGTCACCATAAAACCACCACCGCTGGCCAAATCTCCGATCAAAACCAACGTCATCACCATATAAACACTTCTTTCGACTGAAGCACGTACAAAATCAAAATACAAAGCGCAGTGCAGGTTATCACCACGCACAGTTCCCTTCAAGTTACAGTGAGACCAACACATCACGCTCAGCGAGCAGGGGCGGTCATATCTGTGGTCGCCGCCTCACCCAAGTACACGCCCATGAAGAAGTCGGCGGCGGCCAGGTTGCAGACCAGGAAGCGCGGCACGTCCATCTTGCTGCGGGCAAAGATGAGCACGAATACGACGGTGCCGTTGCCGAGGAGTGCCAGCAGGAAGACCACCCAGACCCCGCAGCGTAGAGTCCACCAGTCGAACAGGTCCTCGCACGGCATGAAGGGAGCTGTCGGCCAGACGGCGGAGTCAGGCGGCGCACAGGTGAGCACTGATTGGGTACTTGGACAGGCATCCGGCGCCAGATTAGAAAATGGGAAAGCATTCTTTTTTAAATATATCAGACCATGCTTCATAGAAGATGACATAGAAAAACACAAGGCACGGCTTTCTTATTTGCTGACGCCTTGCAGTGACGAACAATGCTTTACAAAGTCGGGGAGAAACTCTGTCAAATTGATAGGCTGCACTATTATTCTCCACATTAAAATGCACCTCATCAATCCTGAAATCCCCCGAGCCGGCTGAAGCTTCCACGCAACAATTCACTTCCAGCACTAAATCGTGCTATTTGTTCCGCTATAATAAAATCATCAGACAGACATAAATTATCGAGCGCTACGTGTGCTGGCCAGTCCGTAAATTGCCGGAGATGAACGAGGCCTGAGCCATGGCTGCGTCTTTGTTGCGCGTGCTGCTCACATGGCGCCGGTGAACATTTGAGGTCACCGCCCCCGCCCGAGACGAACAGCAGCGGCTCGTCCGAGTCGGCGTGACCGCTGTCGCTCTCGTCAGCCGGCGGCGACATTTCGAAGTCCCGCAGCAGGGTCTTGCCAAGCTCTCCAAGCGTGTCGGACAGGTTAGCTGCAACGGTAAAGAGTGGCGTATTAACGATCTCGGTGGTGGCGCCCGGGATCATTTCATTATTGAATTCCTTGAATTCAATGAAATCCTTGAATGCGAGACTTGCTTTATCCTTAAATTCCTATTTTTGCCACTTAGCGATATTACTAAGGTCAATCGTGTTCTCAATAACTCGTTCAAATTTCTTGCAGTTAATTTGACGACGGCGTAGCCGCGTCGGCATAGTAGCTTCACGGACATCTGGGTTGCAGAGCATCGGTCGCACGGCCAGCGGACAGCAAACCGCCTACATCGGACTGGAGACGCACGGCACCCGCGATAGCCGCCACCTGTCGTTTCAAAACACAGCCCGCGAGCCGAGCCGGGGCTGTCCCGGCCGCCTTCGCCGTCGCACACGGTGAAAGCCCTCGTGATCGATGAGCGCGAGCGACGCACAAGGTCGGAGGGGCCCATTGACCCAGTCCCGCGCCTCCTCTCTATTAGCTCGCGTCACACGCGCGCCGCATCACTCACGGAACCCACTCACGGAGCTCGGAACTCACGGAACTCGCTCACGGGGCTCGGAACTCACGGAACTCGCTCATGGAGCTCGGAACTCACGGAACTCGGGCCAGGTGTCGGTGAAGTTCTCGCTCCAGGCGCTGAAGTCCAGCTGGTCGCCGCTGGGGAAGATGACGCGCTCCTGGACCTGGCTCAGCGTCTCGTTACGCGGCGCCTTGAGGCCGCGGAACTGGCAGCAATGGTAAGCGTACGACACCTCGACGCTGTGCAGCTGCGGCAGCTGCTTCGGCTCCGGGAACTCGCGCAGCTCGGCGATGTTGCTACAGTGCAGGTGGAGCAGGTGCTCCAAGCCGCGGTGCGGCAGGCGTGGGAAGCGGTTGCTGTTGAGGTTGAGCCGCTGCAGGCGCACCAGTGGCACGAACGCGTCCTCAGCGATCGAGGCCACCTCATTGTGCCGCAGGTCCCTGCCGAGCGCGCGGGAGGAGTCAGCGGTCTGGAAGTGGTGGTGGAAGGGGGGGGGGGCGGCTGGTGGCCGGAACGTTCGGATTGTCTTTACAATCGGCTGGAAGTTTGGTGGCGACCAGGGTGGAATGAAGCAGTGCTCATAGCCGTAATGGTAGCATGAGATGATCAATATCCCGCGTTTGCCGTCTTGAATGGTCGCTTTCAAGGTGTCTTCTGGTGTTCACTTAGGCTGCTTTCCTTTGCGAGCTTAATGCTCGAAATTTAGTCCAGGTTTCCATTTTGAAGATCTCAATACGTCTAGAAGAACAAAGAGAATGCAGCCGAAACTAGTGCTGCACATCCTTTCCATTGCCCCTCCCTTGACTTGCTAATCAGAAGGGGCTGTTCAGCTTTATCTAGCACTCTGAGACCCCAATGAACAGATGACGTGATGTGTACCCCGCATACACGCGGCCAACAACGAGATGACCGGCTGGTAATGACGGGGCGCATCGCACTAATGAAGGCTTGCCGTACTGTGAGCTCCGCCCTGACTCCTGATGGGAGCTGACGACCGCGCTGCATGAATCATCGCATTGCTAGTGCGGCGTGTGGCCACGGCTTTAACAGCTGTGTTTGGGCATCGGGTCGTAAACGTTTGGCTGCCGGCCAGACCCGCACCCGCCGTGAGGTCAATGACACCCGCAGAGACCCAGCCAGATGGATGATGCTACAGCTTACGTGATTTATCAGCAGTTCGAGCCATGGAGTGGAAATGTTGCACATCGTAAAGCTGACAGCCACATGCAATAAATTCACGCTAAACAGTACCAGCAAGAGGTAATGGACCCTCTGTCCACCAGGGTCACCAGTAGAAAGGCATGACAGAGAGAAAAATAGAACTACATCATGGATAAATCTGGCATAAATTAGTCATGAAGTCAACTTAAACGTCAAACGAAAGATGGTATCTGAAATGTTTACAAGTACATGGGTGCTGCTTTGTGCAGTAGAATACAGTAGAAGAATGTGATAGCAAGCATTAACAGCTGTGTTTGGCGCCAACAGCATTTCATTAACCCCTCTGCTCGGCTGAGATCAGGTGGAGGTTACTAACAATGACGCCACAGAACTGAGGCCTCCCACGTCTGACCAGTGGCCAGCGGGGGTGCGCGCCCTCGGCGAGAGCGGACAATGCCGCGCGTGATCATCCCCCGCCGCGGCCTGCGCGGAGGGCCGGCGACACGGAGGGCGAGCATGGCTGACGGCTTAAATCAGCCGGCGGGCCATCCGTTCCGATGATGCATCGGCTCTCTGACCGAGGACCTTCAGCACGGTCTCGCACATCACTCAAGAGCGGCTCCCTGCAGCGCCGAACCAGGAATGCGTTGCGAGGCACAGCTGGGTGACGGCAGGGGCTCCGCAGAGATCGTGAGCATCCGCCGCGGCTGTTTTGGTGTACCCATGGCCCTGCTGGCGCTTGCCTCTACGAGAAACACGCTCGCGTTGGCGTGTCATACGATTTTTCGCTGTCATTCGTTTTCAATTCGTTCGTTCATTTCTACGTTCGTTTCTATGCGTTTTAATGACAGCGCTGCGACTTGCCTATCACTACAAGCATCATCAAGGCCCTTGATACCTGATTTGGGTATGCCTGTACGTGAATAAAACCCCTGCATCGATCACCGCCCGTCAGATCTAATCAGACTGAATGCCGGCCGGTCGTTTGTCGGTCGTTCCACGCGGCCAGCGCGGATCACGGGGCGCGGAGGTCAACTGAGACCGGCACTGGGGACGGCCCCAGTGCCAGCTGGCCGAGGCGCACCGCGGCGGGTTGGAATCGCCATGTTTAGGTTTGATTCTCGCTCGCTGCGCATGTTTTTTTTTTCCTCGAGAAACTGGGTTATACGAATAAACGTCCGCAGCGTGTGACATGCGCCAAAGCTCTGCAATTTTCTGTTTTCAGAACTTAGCTTCTGAAGGTACGTGTTCAGCAACGCTTGGCATTCTAATAGAATATTTGAATATACCTCCCCAAATATTCAAATACCCGACCAGACGGGGTACTCACAGGATCACCAGACGGAGTACTCACGGGATCAGTTGACGGAGTACTTGCAGGATCACCAGACGGAGTACTTGCAGGATCAAAATTACGTAAGTTGTTCAGTGCATTAGCGGGGGGCACTATTCACAGAGATAAGACATTAGTATTAGCCTTATTCCTCGGAGAAAAACCAGGAGAATGGAGATATAGTTGGGTTGATATGCCTTTATCGAGACGATATCAGAAGTATTCAGCTATTGTTTCAATAATGTAATAACAATAGCAGAAGTCTTCTGTTATTGTTCCGATAAAGGCATGTTACCGCAATATCATCCCAACTATATCTCCATTCTTCTGGTTTTTCTCTGAGGAATAAGGCTAAAATTGCCGTCTTACTTGCAGGATCAGTAGATGGGGTACTTACAGGATCACCAAACGGGGTACTCGCAGAATCGCCAGACGGCGTACTCCCAGGATCAGCAGACGGGGTACTCACAGGATCAGCAGACGGGGTACTCACAGGATCAGCAGACGCGTGAGGCCGATGAACGTGTCTCCGGGCAGCTCCTGGACCCGGTTGTGACGCAGCACCAGGTCGTGCATATGGTACTGCGACCTGAACAGCTGACCCGACACCGACTCGATGGCGTTGTATGAGACGTCTCTGCAACGGCGAGGAGGTCAGCTCTCAGCGTGTTTGGGTGTACAGCACATGCCGTTGCTGCTCTAGCGGTGTGGTCGCTGGGAGTCAGGAATGTACGCGGTAAACAAGTGTCTTAATCTCGCAACGTCCGTGATCTGGATTACGTCTTGATGTCGAGACATTATTCGGTTGAGGGTTGTAAGGCATTCGAAATTTCTGCTGAGGTCCAAGCAAACGCCTGTTGCGCAGAAATACCGGCGCGTGCACCTTGCACGCGAAAATGTGCGATACATGTTGTACATACATGTAATGCAATGTAAGGCAACACATGTGATGTGAACACGCATGCAAATTAGCTAACCCTTCTCAACTAAATGTTTTACAGACCATTAACCCCATGTGGCGGCGTGGGATGAGCGGAAGGACACCAGACACGAAAATTGTTGGGTGTTGTGTAGATTATATCAAAACCCGACTTATTGGAGGCGGAATCCTATGAGAACCAATACCAACAGATCTCATCCACGTGATAGAAATTCCCCCTTTCATGACTTATCCTGCGGGGCCCAGTGCTGCAGCATC